AAGGTATTTCACCTCGAAAGAGCTACTGATCCTGATTATCATCACATCCTTATATATATGTCTATATATATATTCTTTTATTTTCTGTCAAGCTATCTTTAAATGAATTCACTTAATTTATTAAGTTTTATGAACTTGTCTAAGTTCCTAATGTAACACCCTATATACTTTAATGAATAAATTCAAAATTAGAGTCTTTTATTTTAACATTTTAAGGATTAAATTGATTAGAATTGGAATATGTGGACCTTATGTGAAATTTTGAGATAGTTAGAGACTATCAAACTTATTTAGCCAAAATTTGAGACATGTGGCAATTTGGCATTAAGTCACCAGAGGCTTCTCTAGAAGATTTTAGAAAAACAAAATCCCTTTCTCCTTTTTTGTCTTAAGCTTCTCGAAACCCAAACCCACCATATTCTTTGCATCTTTCTCCTTTATTTCTAGCCGTTCCTCTGCACCTTTTCCTCCTTTGACTACCAATTGGAATGTGTGGGACACACTCTCCAATGAAATCTCTTTCAATATCTGCTGGTTGTTTGAGTTTGGTGTTTTGATTTCCAAAGGTAAGTATGAGTTTTTGTTATAAATTTGAGTTAGAGTTGGGTAGATTATAGATTTATCATAATATACTAGAAATTAGTTTAAATTAGGAGCTTTGACCCCAAATTTGTAGTTTGGGAGATTTTTGGGCAGTAAAAATTGTGTTAGAAATATAAGATATTGTGGGGCTTTCACGGGAATGACTTCATGATAGGTTTAATTATCATACTTGAGTTTATTGTGAATTTAATTGATAAATGCTGTTGCGGACTCCATGTGCTTGCTTTGTGTGGTCATTTTCTTACGAACTAATATGACAAAATAATTTCATATGTCAAAATAATTTCATATGTCTATTTGAAAGTTGCAGTTACCATTCACGCATAAATCACTGTTCACACATTGGTACTGTTCACACACTATACTTTAATTCCTTTTCATAGGAATTCTATGGAATATGTGAGCTATGTATGTGAATATTAGTGTGAACTTGAATTATCAGTACCATTGATTAATGGAAACATTAAATGGGATAAAGTTCTAATATTATTTTAGACATATTCTGAATTTATTTGACATTTGTATGTGTTTGCGGCTATGGAGTAAGTGGACCTAAACTTAAAACTTGGGGTATTTAATAGATCCTTTAGGGTATTCAGTGGGTCCTCTGGGGTATTCAGTGGACCCTTCAAGGTATTTAGTGGACCTCTGCGCAATAAGGTTAGTACTGTGATTAGCTCTAGCACAGTGTTGCTAACACATATTAGTGAACTCCATAGCATTGTGTGATTTTCGGTTTTTATGCATTGTGCTTGTGACATCGTATTTGTAAGCATATGATTTTGTTATATAAATTTGATTTAAATGTCATTGATTATTCCTTGACATGTTTAATTATTTGTGAGTTAATTTGTGATATTAAATTGTTATTTAAATATTGAGGTTTATAATATTATGTGGTTTGGTTCTATTGTATCTCATGCTCTTTGTGTATATAGGTTTAGGGGCCTTAGGACCCAAGTTTATAGTTTAAACTTAATACTTACTAGGCTTTTAGCTCATAAAATCCCCCCCCCCATTTCAAATTAGGAGATTGGAGTAGCAGCTACTCAACTTGAAAGCTTTCAATATAAATCTTGTATGCTGACCTCAATGCTTTTATGTGAAGACAGATTAATGTATTGCCAAAACGATAATTTGCTTTTATTATTTTAGAAAATATTTTGAAAAAGCAATTGCTTTCATGTATTGCTTTGTATAAGTTATTTTTATGTATATGACATTAAAATTCATTTAAATGGGCATAGCCTGGCTTATTTCATAACTTTGAGTAGTTCGATATTTTTCTTAAATTATTTTTCATTGAAATAATTTCCCTTGTAGATTAAGGATTTTCCTTCTATAAAACTTTAAATTGTTTTGAAAGCAGATTTTCCTTAAAGAGAAACATTTTATATTAAAAGAGTTTTTACTTCTGTTGCAATCTTTTTTTATAGATAATTCCTACTATGTTTTTTTTTTTTATCTTGAAGAGTACATTTCCTTACTTGGTAAACTAGGATGTTTATCAAAAAGGGGATGTTACACCTAAGTCAGTACATGAAGTTCCTATTGTTAAAGTCTGAGGCTAACCATATTATATGATAAGGATACATATACACATATATATAACTTTAGCTTAATATCACATGAAATAACTATAACTTAAGTAAATTATGAAGCTGCACTTTTTAATCATAGGTTACTATTAGAAGTCATAATATATGACTCTTCTTCCCCCTCAACAAGCACATTCGGGGCTGGTAAACATAAACATTGTAATTGTAAATTATATTATTTGCATTTTTTATGCTTTAACATGTCCAATAAACAAGCAGTCATGTATGTTGTAATAAAAAGTCTTTCTAGCTTGTAAATATAATAACAAAAATTAGACATACAAAATAACTAATAAAAATCTTAAATGTCCAAAGAAATTTTAAAATTTCTAATATGTAACACTTACTTGACTTGCCAAGCAGAATTAATTTATACTTGAGGGAAGAATTGATCATCTTTATAAACTATTGAGCTTTATGATTGGAGCCCGCAGCCACTTAAGGGTCTTGCTCAGCTTTACTCATTTATTGAAAAGGTCTAAGTGGAACATAAAACTTTGATGTAGAACTCCCCTTATTCCTCCCCTTTCTTGCTTGAATTTTATTCAGAGAAGCTTCTGACTTTTTGATAGCAAACTGTCTGTGGGGAGCTTCATACATGCTAACTAGGTCGACCTAATTAACTTGTTCCCTGCACTTTTCCATCTCTAAAATAGCAACTTATATTTATAATTATAAGTGCAAATGAGCAAAGTAGCATGATTATGATATATAAAAAATGAGATGGCAAAATGATATAATGAATGCAAAAACAAGTGCAGAATGAATGCAAAAAATGTGGAATGAATGCAAAGAATGCGGAAAGCAATTAATAATAAATTTTAATATAAGATGGACCGAGCTTGGACCAAAGCTCTAATTTGCTGCAGAGCTTAATTGCTTTCTTGAAAACTTGTATCACAAGGACTTGAAAAAGGAGAAATCAAAGGCAGCCAATCTTATAATCAAGAAAGTATACTTTATGAAATAAATAAAAGAAAAAGATTGCAAGTTCATCTTTTTTAATTTTCAAAACAATACGCGGCTTATGAGCTAAATTTATATACATATTAATGTAAAATTTATGCCTTGATATTATTGATTTTTTGATGAGTTTTATGAAGATTTACTTAATTGTATATAATTTTCATTCTTTGTGTAAGAAAAGACTTAATTAGAAGAAGTCATAATTCTTAGGAGTAAATTGCAAAGATACAAAATTTGAGGATTAAATTATGCTGAATCCATAAGTAAGGGACTAGGATTGTAATTTTACCATTAACAGGATTTGCTGAGAAGGACAGAAACTCGACACGAACTCTTCGGTGCAGATGCAGAAAAAGTGTTAGCGCATTGTTGAGGGTGTTGACCCCTTGTAGCTCGCATTGCACATCTTTCACCTCGTGCTTGGGTAGGATATTTGCATCTCGGCAGCTCATGCTCGGCATCTTATGCTAGGCAGCTCGTGCTCAACAGCTCGTGCTCAGTAGTTCGACAGATCTTGCTCGAGCTCTGCATCGTGCTTTTGAGCTCGGCAACTCGTCCTTGAGCTCTTTGTTGACTCAATGTACTCCAAGAGGGGGGTGAATTGGAGTTCCAAAAATTCTCCCCTTTTTGCAACCACAAAACCAAAATTAAAGAAAGTAGAGAAGAAGAGCTTGCTCAATGATTTATAGAGGTTCGGTCCAACCACTTGGAGCCTAGTCCTCTACCTTGGCTTCACTCACCAAGGATTTCCTCTACACTCTTCACTAACAACAACAAGGGTGGCTTAAAGGAGCCACTCAATCCTTTTACAAGAATAAGGGTGTTTCTCTCAAATCTCACCCCTTTACAAGATAAACCCCAAAAATCCTTTCTACAGATCACTCTTGAAGGAATCAACACACCCCCAAGATCACTCACTAATAGCACAAGAAGAGGATTACAAGCAATGATCACTTAAAGATCAAAAACTCAAGTTTAAGCTCAAGTAGGTAGGTAAAGATATGCAATGTTGTGTAATCTAAACTTCTTCAGATCCATATTTATAGCCCCTTGCTCGAAAATAGTCGTTTCTAGCCGTTGGGGGTCATTAAATGCTCTGTAGGGCGCATGGCTCGAGTTGCAGAACTGTCATGAGAGCCGGCTTAACTTCCTAGAGTCGGCTCTGCACAGCCGGCTTACACTTCCAGAACCGACTATCCGAGTTTGCAACCCATTTTGTTTTTCTCGAGAGCTGGCTGCAAGACTTTGAGCCGGCTTTGGAATTTCGATTTTAAATACATTCAAAAGAGTCGACTGTTGTGCATTAAATGCACCCTCACAGTCGGCTATAAAGTTGGAGCCGGCTTTGCGTCTTTTCTCCGCGCGCGCCAATCAACGGTCTTCAAATTTTTTGCCCGTAGAGCCGACTGCAGCTTCTAGAGCTGGTTCTCTGCACTTCCATTTCACCAAAGCCGGCTGCAGCTTTTAAGAGCCGACTCTTTGCACATTTTGAATCCTTTTGGTCTATTTTTAGTGCAATCCAAGTTTATTTGCAATCTTTTAGCAACTTAACTACACACTTAAATAAACCAATTAGTCACTCATATGTGTTTTGTAATCATCAAAATCATAAGTACAACACTCTTCATCGTGCTTTTGATCTCTGTAGTTCGTAGCTCATGGTCCAGCATTTCGCACCTCGACATTTCGCAACTCGTGCTTCTACAATTCGCATCTCGGACTTCTACTTTTCACATATTGGACTCCTGCAGTTCGCAACTCTTGGTCTAGCATTCTGTAGCTCGTGCTTAAACATTTCGCACCTCAAACTTCTACAATTCTTAGCTCGTGCTCGAGCAATATGCTTGCAACAGCTTGTGCTCAAGTAGGATATTTGCAACTCGTGCTTCAGCAAGGTGTTTCAACTCGTGCTCGAGCAAGATGCTTGTAGCTCATCATTATCAAGCTTGAGTAATGGAGCCCAACTATAGTCAATCCGGCCATAGCTGCTTAGTCTTCTTCTATCATTGTAACCATAGGCTTTTGTTCCCTAGCAGCTGATTGGAGGGATTTCACACTAGTGAGCTTTTTGGCTGAGAGCTGAGGCTGCAGTTCTTCATGAGCATAAGACAATGGTATTCGAGCATCTCAAACTTCGATAACGAGGTCAGAGAGTTTGAGGCATTGGTGGATGGCATGGGTGGCAGTAGCCATGTGGTCGAGGAACCAGTTGATGACTCCACTGTCTTTGTTGAATGCCATCTCCTTCAACTCCATGCCTTTCTTCACTACACCCTCCAACCCCATTTCTGTTTCCTTCATTTTCATTATCGCCAACTGAATAGATGAGAAGTACATTATGGTTGAAGAACAGAGAGGCACATGGCCACCATAGCCAAAACCAGAGGAGCTTAGAAGGAAAGGTATAAGTTTTTTTTTTTTTTTTTCACAAACTTGCTTGGTGCATGCTGCCAAGCTGGGAGACTGCTTTGCCATTGCCGAGCTAGGAGACTGCTTTGTTGCTGCTGCTGAGCTGGGAGACTACTTTGCCATTGTCGAGCTGGGGGACTACTTTGTCGCCGTTATCAAGCTCAAGCTCATCTTGTCTCATTGAGGGTGCCTCATTTGTGAGCTCATTTTTCTAAGAACTTTCATGGTCATGTGCTCACTTTTTTTTTTTTTTTTGGTGGACCCCTTTTAGTTGCCTTAAGCTTGTGTTTTGCTAACACTTTTTTGTTTCTTGAATACTCATTGCTGACATTGTACCATGCGTCAATAGTTATGCAAAGCTACTCCTTTGTTTGTCTTCTTGTGAAAGCTTCCCTTCTTCATAGGTGAATAAACCCATTTCGTAAATCCATCAGATCTACTTTGTGAAGGCTTCTCTTTTTTATAGGCAAATAAACCCATTTTGTAAATTCATCAAATCTGCTTCTGTAACTCAAGTGTAGACTTTTGCAACTCAAGTGTAAATTCATCAAATCTACTTTTGCAACTCAAGTGAATAGGCCATGAGCCCTTCGCTCATCTTCTCCTCCCTTCGATCAACTGGATCAACATAGAAATAAAGCTTTTTATTCGAGTTCCCACAGATGGCGCCAATATTGTTGCAAAAAACCTTCAAGGCCTTCCTTGCTTAGATCTTCTTGTTGAATAAACCTGCAAAGCTCGGAGTGTGTCCCTCGGATAGACACTCCAATGCTTAAGTTAACAATAGTCTACACTTAGAGCTCTTTTTAGAGAAAATAGAGTTTAACAGAGAGAGAAGTGCTCAAAGAAAAGTCTCGTACCTTTGAGGGATGTGGGGTATTTATAAATTGCTTGGGAGTGCTTGACACATGTTGCACTTCTGTTGATCCCTTTGGATCTATTTAAGTGTATATGAGTTCCATAGTAACTCATGCATGTGCTCCTTTATATTTGGACCTCATGAGCTTTCATTATGTTTATGGGCTAGTTAGATTACTATCCTTACACTCATTTTTCCTTCTATGGATTTCAATTACTATCCAGATTTGGACTTCTTACTCAAACATAGGAATGGCAATTTACCCCAAACTTGCAGAGTTGTGCAAGGATCACTAACGACAAGATAGGAAGCAATCAAGCAAGTTGGTGTTGGGGACTTTTTTTTCTTTTTTTTTTTATGTAAAATTTTACATGAAATTTTCCCTCTATATAACTAGACAAGAATCCTCATTGCCAATAAAAAATTTGAAAATAATAACAAATTTAAAAGTAGTGATTTAATTACCTATAAATCTTATATATTATATTTATACGAAATTTAATTATTTTTTTCTTTTTAATAGTTAAAACTTATTTATATTTATTAAAAATAATTATTTTTTAT